AAAAAGAGAGAGAGAGAGAGAGAGAGAGAGAGAGAGAGAGAGAGAGAGAGAGAGAGAGAGAGAGAGAGAGAGAGAGAGAGAGAGAGAGAGAGAGAGAGAGAGAGAGAGAGAGAGAGAGAGAGAGAGAAGGCGAGACACGCAGTATAGAGGACAAGGCCAAACCTGGCCCGGCGAGAGGCTGTGTGAGCCATTGTTAATCTTCCGGTAGTCGTCATAGCTGAAAAGCTCGCCTGTTTAACAGGACGATTGCTAAGTTGACGCGCATGATGCTAGTATGACAACAGCTCCACCAATGTAGCGCAACACAAACCTGAGTTTGTCCACGCGGGCGCAGGCATATGCAAAGGCGGGTCCATCACTGGCAGCTGAATTGAATCAAGGGGGTACAGCTCAAATTTGTCTAATCAGGATGATTTTGCGATGGCAGATGAGGTAGCGAGTGAGACCGCATCTTGAGCTTTGTTGAGGGAGAAAAAAGAAGCGCTTCAATCTGACCGTGAGGCGCCACAAACGGCAAATGTGGGCTGACGCATTGTAGGCCCAAACAACCCGAGATGGCGAGCATCGAGTGCGAGTGAGAGTCTTGACCACAAAGCGCAATCGCGATCGCAGTTGAAAACTGACCGATGAGCCCCAAAGGCGATGAAGAAAGGCTTGTCTCTCGGACCCTTGGACCAATTGGATAAGACTTCAATACAGTGGTCGGCCAGCTATGGAAGGCACATGTGAACGCTGATGAGCTGCAGCAACTCAAAGCCTAACATAAACGGCGAAAATTATCAGTGTGCATGCCATACACACACATATACCTGTGTATCTGGCAGTGGGTACTCCTCCTCTTCTTCTTTGGATACGTCATACCAAGCGTGTGCTCCATCGCCCCTGGTGCGTGAAATCCGGTGCATTGAATGAGTGGCACAAGCCATCAAAAGGACTTGTCGATTGTGTTCTTGAACGCACCGAGCGAGGGGGTAGTCAGTGTTGGGAGCATGGAAATAGGTGTCCCACGAGTTGGACAGATCATCGCCCCCAGAGCAGTCGGTGCAATGAGTTGAGTTTTGACCAGACGCGTGACCGGGATGGAAGATTTTGCTGCGAGAGATCAGCAATATTCGAGTGAGCACAATAGACCAAGACCTGGACTCATCTTCAACCAAGGATAGGCATGTGTCAATGCGTATCAAGACACCACCGATGGCTGAGCTTCATGGGATGACGTACCCCATGCCTACGGTGTAGTAGCCGCGCTGGCGAAAGAACTGCGGGATGGTTGTAAAGTTGCCCGCGACGTCCCGAAAGTACGAGTAGAGATCCCACACGCGCGTAGCATCAGGTCTAAGAATGATTGATCAAATAGCGAGGCAGGTGATGCTGCCGGATGTAAAAATACGTGATACGATGCTGCTATTCAATGTTGTGAATGTGTGTTTGTTTTTTTTGGGGGGGGGCTTACA